AGCTAGTAGTATTCTAGATGTAGTCAATATAAATATTATCAAAATTTTATCTTTTCGATTGTAACCTTCCAAAATCATATTCAGCAAAGCTACTTCAGGGGACAAGGCAATTGTTTGTTTATTTATTTATTTATTTATTTATTTTATTTAATTCAATTTATACCCCGCCCTCCCCGCAATTAACACACATCACTTCCAAGATGAATTTCTGAATCATCTTCCAGTAGTTACTTACTTTCGCACATCGCCACCATGAAAAAAAGTTCCAACATTCGAACAACATTTCCAACATATATTAGGTAGTGCAGCATTACATTTAGCTATCCTATCTGGTGACCAGTACCAGCGGTGTGCTACTTTATACCAAATGTTTTCTTTATAGTTGATAACTCTTAAGTATTTAAGAGATTTCCAAGTACTGGACCATTTATCTATTTCTATGCAATGCCCAATATCTTTCATCCAAGCCACCATTGAAACACTAACTTGCTCATCTAGAGTATATTCTTGTAACAGAAAGCTATAAATTTTTTGGATCATTTTGTCACTACTTGACAGCCAGATCTCATCTAGTTGACTTTTGGAGTCTTGGAATCCTGCATGTATATCCTTCAAGTGTATAGACTGAAGTTGTGACATTTCCCACCATGATAATTTAATCTTATATAACGATAATAAGCTCTCTTTGGATTTTAATTTATTGTTTTCATCTAATAGGGTTTCATAGCTCTCTCTATCCCACGCATTGATAAGGGAAGGTTTTATGAATGCTTCTAACGGGGAGACCCATTTAGGTGTTTTACTATAATATCTTAGTTTAATCTCATTCCAAATCTTAGCCAGGCCCCCCATTAACATATGTTGTCCAAAGTTTGAATGGATTTTATCCTTCCCATACCACACGTAGGCATGCCATCCCACACCCCTTGCTTTTCCTGACAAGTTACAGAGTAGGCTCTATCAGGCAGTCTCTCTGTCGATTTGAGCAGATTCTTTCTTTCTTTGGAAGACCTGAAGGTTCATAAGTCTCTTAATTAAATTACTGCTAATTATAATTGTGACTAATCTAATTAGTGGTTAGCGAGGCGTTGTGGTTTTTTAACAGATTCTTTCTCCCCCCTTCCTTTTCTTGCCCCCTCGCAACCCGATCTGCAGCTTCAGAGATTTTTCACTGATTTCCCAGGATGAAAATTTACCAGTGTGAGTTCAAGTCAGGGGGGGAAAAGGAAGCATAAGCATAGGGCTAGACGCCAGTAGTTGGGCGGCCGCTCTCTTTCTCCATCTCACATGCACAGACACATAGCTGCGCAAAGGGACCTGGACAGACAGTAATTGCAAACCTATCCACAACTTTGCAAAGGAGGCAAAGCCTGCTGGAGTCCAGCATGGCTGAGGTGTCCTGGCTGCAAGACATAATACAACAAAAAGAGGGGGAGGGGGAAAAGATCACTCTGGTTACTGGGGAGATGGCAAAGGGCTTGTGGTGCACTTGCAAACTCAGGGAGAGAGATGCTGAGACTCATGGCCACTTGCAGGCTATTTACCACTACTCGCACCCTCCCTCTTCCTGTCTTTCTCACCTCACTGCCCCTTTTCCCTCCTCCTCCTTTGCTCTGTCTTGCTCACTCCTCCTCCGGCCCGGGGAGGGGAGGGGGACCAGGAGATGAGGGGGCAGGGCAAATTTGGGGGAGAGTGTTGCCCCAACCTCCCCCCCCCCCGGCTACGAGTCTGCTGCCATTTCTCCTCCGCAAATTTCTGCTTGCTAGTCCCTTGCTTGGCATTATGAGACAAACATGGCATTGGGAAATTCATGTAGTTTTTCAGTCAGGCCCCTATACCTGAAAATATTATTCTGGTGTTTTTCCCCCCAGAGGGCAATCTTCACAATCCAGCTCTGTTTGAGGGAAGAAATCCTGTAGTCTGGGAGATGGCCGAGGAATACCTGGAAATAGTACAAAAATATCCTTGCCCGCTCTCCTATGTCAGGGCGCATCTCTTCAAGCTGTGGCATCACACGTGAGTGACTCTACTGTTTTTGACCGCCCCAGGTTTATGACCCCGTCCCCCTCCTGTAGGCTATTGAGGGATCTGGGAGCAGGGAACAATGAGCCTGGCCATGGGTGGTCAGTGCTCCTTGACGTTGGGGCTTTTTATGGCACACGGGAGAACTGGAAATCTCTGTCTCACTTGCAGAATTTGAAGTTCCATAAGCTGGCCATAAATTCCTTAGCGTCGCTCTGCACCTTGAGTCTTTTTAGGGGGAGTAGAATAAGACACAATGTGTTGGTTTCCTCCAGGTTGCAAATTCACCAGCAGCTGCGTGATGAGCTCGCAAAAGTAAAGACACTGGAAGGTCTTGTGGCCGTCAACAAAGAGCTGAAGTTGCATTGCCAGGTACCAGCAGCCAGGCCAACTCTGGGGACGGCAGGGGGAGCCTATTTCTTTGCCATCCAGATAAGGCTGACAACGTACACAGTTACTATATTTCAGGGGTCATTTCGTAGAAAAAGAGCTAGGGGAACTTATTAGCATAACTCATTAGCATATGCCACACCCCCTGACATCACCGGAAGTGTGTCATAAGGCCACACCCCCTGACATCACCGGAAGTGTGTCATAAGGCCACACACCCCGCCCCCAACCGTCCCGGCCGCCGCCGCCGGCCTTGCAGCTCCACTGCCGAGCCCCATGAGGGGCCCAGCGGTGGACCTGCAAGGCCAGTGGGAGTGCAAGGAAGCCCCGCGAAGGCCCTCCCTGGCCCCAGGCAGGCAGGGGTGGGGAGAGGCATGGAGGAAGCAACTTACCCTCCCTCTTCTCCTGCCTCCTCCTGGCTGAATGAGGGCCGGAAGCGGGGCGGCTGGAAGCAGGGGGCGGGGCTTCGTCATGTGCCCCGCCCCCTGTACCTCACCCGGGGGAACTGCAATCCCCCGCGTTCCCCCCCGAAATGACCTCTGCTATATTTCTATCTCATTCACAGGGGGATGATGTCTTTTTTAAATACTGAACGTTCTATATTCATAGATTTGTTCAACAGATTGTTTTAGTTTCAAATGTGGCTAGTTCATTAAAAATGTTAACTTAGTTTCAAGTGTGTCAAGTGTGTTAATTGCCATTTTAGCTCCCTCTATGAATTTAAGGCAGTAGCGTATGTTTTCTGAGAAAGCTGAATTCTTCATTGTTTATAATTGTGCTCCCAGGAAGAAATGGCCAATCTGAAGGAAGAAGATAAGCCCAAGGGAGGACTGCCTTTCTCCCACTGGATTTGTCAGCCATATGTGAGACCAGGGTGAGCTGCCATACTTTAAATAGCTTGTGCAATGTATGTGGTCTAAAGTCTTTCACCCTGAGAATTAAACTGCTTATTCACTACCTCTGATTAACAGCTTGACAAGCAGGTGGGTGTCTGGAGGCCAGAGATGCACCCTTCCTGATCCACCTTGTAGCAAGAGCATTCCAGTGAGTGGGGGTAATTACAAGGGAAAGGGATGTTTTATTCCCTGCCCTTTCAGTAGGCACCCATTGCCTGCAATGTGCTCCTCTTGGCTAAGAGGCCATGTGCATGTCCTACCCTGTAGGGTCACTCCTATCCCATTGTGTTCTTGAGCTCCAAGCTGAGTCACAAGGGGCAAGAATGTTTCTACTTGCAAGCAGTGATATTGTTTTAGAAGGCCTGGTTTCTTGGTAGCCTTGATAGTGTGCTTAAGCTGTGAGGAAAGGGGTATATTGTCCTCTCCATGTGTATTTACAAGAGCACCAAATAGGTTGCTGGATACAATTCATATCAGCAACAGACTTTGTGAAAGAGATAGCATGCAGGTGGGAGCTAAAGAGGATTTCTCAAAACCCTCAGTTTAATCTCCTTTCTGAGGGTATTTGGGCTGTGGAAGGAAACTTTCTGATGTATTGGTGCAGTGTACAGTAAATAATTTAAAAAATCATCCAGTACTGGAAGAGACTGGTATGAAACTCACATTCAGTCAAATGTGCTTTTCCTATACTGCAGAAAGGAAGGAGCAGCCCTCGAATAATTCAACAGCCCTTTCCAAAGGGATGGAGCTGTTCCCCATATCATAATTGCCTAGGCAGAGGCTGTCTTCATCCCCTCATCGAGAGGAAACTGAAAGCAGGCCCTGGTGAGAAGACTCTTTGTGTCCTCCTGGGTTCCTATAGGGAGAGGCAGTCCTTCAGCTTTTTCTTAATCCTTCGCGAGAACATCCTTGAACCCTCACCTGACTTCTCATGTTGCAAGCAGCCTCCAACTGCTAGCCATTCTGTAGGACAGGCGCTTTTAACCTTCTGTCATAGTGCAGCTAAAAGGAAGCATCTTTGTATTACTACTATTTATTATATTGTTTCTAAAGTGCTTATGCCATCTACAGGAGTCTATATGGGTGTTGGTAAAGAGAATGTTGCCTTTTTTTTTTTTTTAATTGTGTTCAACCTTTACAGGCCCAAGGAGACATGCAAAGAAAATGGCACAAATGGGATGGAAGGAAGCAACCGGGGGAAGCGAGCCTTAGAGGATGAGGATGATGGGAATTCAGATTCTCTCTCAAAGAACAAGCAAAAGAAAAAACTGAGAAATCCCAATAAAACCTTTGATCCATCCTTAAAACGTAAGATGTAGGGCTGCAACATTGATTCAGTAGTTTAGTTTACTAGGATCTTTTTGATGAAATAAGTAGGTGCCCCAAAACTAATCAGGCAACAGTTTAAATTTTTTAAAGTTGATCTATAGCATTTGCTGATGGCAGGTGATGCTATCTTAGAAGAGACATTATCTCCTCTCTCACATACAAGAGTGTATCATCTAAAAGCTAAATATGTGAAACCAGGAATAAGTTCATGGACAGTAACTCAGATTCTGTTTTGTTTCATTGTTTTCTCTCTGTAGTGTGGAAAAGCATCACCAGAGAACAAGCTAGATTAAACCAGGATATCTGTGTTTGTACTTCACACAAAACTATGGTGAAGAACAGGCGTATAGCCACTGGGACCATTTGGGGGGCAGTGCCCCCCCCCCAGATGAGTGCAGCCCCCTTGGAAAAGAATTCAAACCCCCACCCCGAATTCAAAAAGATTAAGAAACATAAGATGTGCATGAGGGTTCCAAAATAACCCCAGGCACAGTCGGGGAAGCTTCAGACTCATTTTCTTTTTTCCAGGCTGAAAAATAGGTGTTTTTTTTTTTTAAAGCAAATGAAATGAAATTACAAAATGCGAAAGAGAGAAAGTCGGAGATATCCCCCCCCCCGCTTACACAGAAAAGCAGCCTGGAATTGAGTCTCTCCAATCGAAAGGACTGGAAGACTAGTGGTTGTAGCAGAGCTGGAGCAGCTGCTTCTTCTGCTGCAAGAGGAGCAGCAGGCATGGCCAGGGCGCTCCCACCCCAGATTTCCTCATGCCCTACCAACCAAAATTTTCTGGCTACGCCCCTGGTGAAAACTGTTTAATAAACCAGCTTTGAATTCTGCCTTCAGATCCTGGTTTGATGGACTTCAGTCTTAATTAGTTGCCTGCATTCAGATAATCACTAAACCATGATTTTCCACAAAGCCAGTGTGGAACTGACCTGAACCAGTGTGGAATAAGTGGCTAGACAGGTGAACCATAACTGAGGGAAACATGGGTTCACAGTCACTCTCAGCCATGAAGCTCACTAGGTTCCCTTGGACCAATTGCTTTCTCTCCACCTAATTTGCTTCAGAGTTCCTTTGACATGGCCAGGTAGGAGGAAATGTACAGTTCATTATGAGGAAAGAGAAACATAAATTCTAATAAGTAGGAGTAAATAACTTAAGAAATAGTATAGAAACAGTACACACAGAGTAGTGCTTACAAGAGAGGAAACGTGCATGTCTCCCAAACTGGAGATTTTTGCCTGAGGTATTATTCAAATTAGTTGTAGTGAAAGCTGACGTAATATTCCTTTAGATGTCTTTCTCCTTCCTTCAGCACACCCTGTTCCATTTTTATAGAATTTTACATGAAAATTACGACATTATTTTTTAATTAGGATGTAACATTGGCATAAGCCTACTACTCCACTTAGCAAAATTTGAAATCTTCCTCCAATTTAAATTGATCCTCTGCCAAGAAAGAGCCACTTAAATTGAAGGATTATTTTTTTAAAAATTCAAGAAAATTAATGAGTTTTTAAAATTTGAGATGGAGAAATTGTTTTCCAAGCCTCAGGATACAGAAAACATTTTTTCCTATTTGTACATTAGGGACAATCTAAAATACCCAGAAACTAAATCTTTTTTCCCCTCTTTTCCAGCTAAATATGCAAAATGTGATCAGTGTGGAAATCCAAAGGTAGGGGTCTCTTTGGTCGTTTACAAGCAATTTGTTCGTCTTGGCTTGGGAGCTGTTATCCTGTCCTCCACAGCATTATGGTACTCCTGTTCACCTCTAGGGATTTCCCCATCTTTCCTGCAGTCTTTCCCAAACCTGCTTGGCTGCAATGTTTGGGGAAAGATCACAGCAGAGATGGGATGGTACCCATGTGGATGGGAAAGTCCCAAGCTTTCTGGTCCTGCCAACATCAGCACTGTTTTCCCTGCCCCAGTGCCCTGGCAGCAGCCATTTCTCTTGCCACCAGAGGTCTTTTTTTTAAAAATGGCAGCCTTATAGTATTTTAATGATCTATCATGTTCTCTGAATTGCCAGATTCCATTAAAAAAAAGCCCCTAGCCCCTTTCCTCACAGAGAGATGCTTCTCTCCCCACCCTTACCCATCTCTGCAATTTAAGGCTTAAGGACCAAGTGCTCTGTTAAATAGCACTATACTGTCATCTGCTGGAAGCGCCTTAAGTGATTTACTCTTTTACAAGAGCTGGATTTGAGTCCAGCAGCTCCTTAAAGACCAACAATATTTTAGGGTCTAAGCTTTCAAAAGTCAAAACTCCTTTAGTCAGGTGTCTTTTACTGTTTTACAGTACTCTGGTGCACTACTGAGGAAACAACATGTAATGCAAAATACTACAAATGTTGCTTTAGACTTCTGGTGTTCGTACCAAATGGATACATAGCCTTTTCTCTTTTTGTTCCATGCTAGAACTGTTTAATGGGTCTCAGATTTGTAGCTTCTTGGTACCATAAGCATCTTTAATCATGACCAGCAGATAAGCATCTTTAATAATGACCAGCAGATACGCATCTTTAATGACTAGTACAAAGACCTCAATGTCTGCACTGATTCCTCTTAGCGTCTGCTCAGGAAATAGAAGAACTCTCTTACTGGTTGTGTTGTTCTTAACTTGACATGAGTTTAGTGACTTTCTGGTTTAATTATTACATTTTGTTTCTGGGCAAGAGGCCTAAGTGAGTTTTTTTCAGGGGGCCTATTCCATTTGGCTTTTTTGCCATCAGATGATTTTTCTTGTTATGGGTAGACTTTGGTTGATTATAACTAAGTGGGGAATTCTGAGATCAATAACTTTTCTTCATGTACAGGACTGTAAATAAGTCTGTTGAAAGTCATAACGTTCTTGAGTTTGTAGTCCAAAACAGAGAGTGGTTCAGGCACATGGTAATTTATTTATGCCAGCATTTATTTCTGTTTAGGGCAGTTTACAGATATCAGCAGTATAAAATAGTAACATTGGCAAAAATATTATGTGTTACAGTCTATTAAAAGTTCCACTCCTGAGACTGTGTTTCTGCAGGGAACTAATCACACCACAGTTTTGAAGGCAAAGTGGTCAGCTTGAGAAGGTGTTTTTGTTTTTACCGAACCCTTTTTTTGGAAGGATATTAGGGCAAAAATGGTTTGTTGAGAACTGCTAAAATAACTTTGGCAGAACAACGTGGGCAGCTAGGTGCATTCTACCTTTTAAAAAAGCAAACGTGGTTTTAAAGATGCTGTTTCTGAGGAATTTATGGCTTTTAAGAACTTTCTTTATGCAGCTTGGTCTCTAGTTAGTGGCCTTGTATTTGTGATTTGTAGTCTCCTTAAGGTCTTTTGAGGGTACCCCAACAATTGGAGCAGAGCTCTTAAGCCAGTTTGTGTTGGAGTCACTTATGGAAAGCTTCTCTTGCAACTATATTAATACATAGGATGTTGGCCCTCCATATCTTGTCCATGAAAGAATGCATCATATAATGGGAAATGGATACTCCTGGCAGTAGCAGTAGGAATACATGTTGTCACATGCAGAAGGCTTATTATGTGCAAAATCTCTGACTCACTTCAAAGCCAACGATCTGGCACTGCCATGACCTACTCTAGGTTTGTACGCACGTGGTTTCCATGGCTGCAGTACATGACAGAAGCTGAACTTCTTCCCACTAATACTACTTACTCTTCTTGGCTTTTCTTCTAGCTCTCTATTGTACACTCTGAGATCCATACAAAAGTCTTCTGCATCTAAGATCCAGTTCTAATCTAGTCCTCACACTCGCTTTTCTGACAGAGGTAGCATAATTACCAGCACTTCATACTCTTCATTTATTGGTCATTAAATGTTCAAAAATGTTAAAATAGTCTTTACTGTTACATAACAGACTTTTGAGGCTACTTGATCCTTGTATCTTGTTGTTGCTTGTTTAATGCTTTTGATGTTAATTGTTGTTAATGATTATTTTAAAATGAATTTAAAAAAATATTAAAAAAACATGCAGAAGTCAAGGCCGAAGTCAGAATTTCTCAACATATGATTAGCAATGATTATAATATGGTTGGGCTACAACTCCCTAAGGACCTTGAGTTACATTTTTTAATTTGTTGATTAAAAAGGCACAGTATACTGATAATAATAAAAAAAAATAGTTTTATACCTTTTATTGGTCGCCAGGTTGGTGGTACTCGGGTATTGGAAAACAGAAGCTCTTGTTTCTGTGGTCCAGTGAGCGCTCTGTGTGTGTGTGTGTGTGTGTGTGTGTGTGTGCGCGCGCACTGTGTGCCATCAAGTCACTTCCAACTCACAGTGACCCTTTGAATTAATGGCCTCCAAAAAGTCCTATCCTTAACAGGTCTTGCAAGCTGAAGGCCGTGGCTTCCTTTATTGAGTCAGTCCCTCTAATGCTGGGTCTTCCTCTTTTCCCGCTGTCTTCAACTTTTTGTCGCATTATTGTCTTTTCCAGTGATTCTTGTCTTCTCATAATGTTACCAAAATTCTATAGCCCCAAGTTTAGTCATTTTAGCCTCTAGGGGGAGAGTTCAGGCTTGATTTGGTCTACAACCCACTTATTTGTCTTTTTGGCTGTCTTTGGTATTCATAAGACTCTCCTCAACTTTCTTCCTGTCAGTTTTCTTCATTATCCAACTTTCACACACATATATACTAATAGGGAATATTATGGTGGTGGAAAATGCTGTCAAGTCACCGCTGACTTATGGCAACCCCTCATGGGGTTTTAAAGGCAAGAGACGTTCAGAGGTGGTTTGCCACTGCCTGCCTCTGCATCACAACCCTGGGATTCCTTGGAGGTCTCCCATCCATACACTGACCAAGGCTAAACAGCTTAGCTTCCAAAATCTAACAAGATCGCGCTAGCCTGGGCTATTCAGGTTAGGTATACTATACCTGACTATAGTATGAATTATTTTAATCTTGGTCGCCAGCGACACATTCTTACACTTAAGGATCTTTTCTAGTGCCTTCATGGTTACCCATGGCTCAGTCTCCTTCTGATTTCTTGGTTCAATCTCCCTTTTGGTTGATAATTGAGCCAAGGAATAGAAAATCTTTAATAATTTCAATTTTTTTCCTTGTCAACCTTAAAGATGTGTAATTCCTCAGCAGTCACTACTTTTGTCTTCTTGATATTCAGTCGTTGTCCTGCTTTGGCACTTTCTGCTTTAACCTTTGCTTTGAGTCATCACTATTTTTGCGGTGTCATCTGCATACCAAATTGTTAATGTTCCTTCCACCAGTTTTCACTCTAGCTTCATCTAAATCAAATCCAGCTTTCCTTATTATATGTTCTGCATATAGATTGAAAAGATAGAGAGATAAGATACATCTTTTTCGGACATCTTTGCCAATTGGAAACCATTCTGTTTCCCATATTCTGTCCTAACAGTAGCCTCTTGTTCATCAAAACAGTCAGATGTTCTGGCACACTCAATTCTTTTAAAACCAACCATAGCTTTTCATGATCCACATAGTCAAAAGCTTCGCTGTAATCTATGAAATACAAGTTGATTTTCTTCTGAAAATGTTTTTTATGGTCCAGTAACCATATCTTGAGCTGCGGTGGCTCAAGTGGTTAAGACGCTGAACTGCAGGCTGTGGGAAGGACAGTAGTTCAGCAGTTCGAGACCCGGGTGCCACATGACGGAGTGAGCTCCCATCTCTAGTTCCAGCTCCTGCCAACCTAGCAGTTCGAAAGCAAGAAATTGCAGGTAGATAAATAGGTACCACTTCGGTGGGAAGGTAACAGCGTTCCGTGTGCCTTGGTGTTTAGTCATGCCGGCCACATGACCACAGAAACATCTTCGGACAGCGCTGGCTCTTGGGCTTTGGAACGGAGATGAGCACCGCAACCCTAGATTCCGATTCGACTGGCTTTCGAGCAAGGGAACCTTTAACCAATGTAAACTTGCAATATTATCTCTAGTGCCTCTTCCTTTCTGAATCCATCTTATTTTATTTTGTTATTTCAAAACAAAAACAGAAAAAAGAAGGGGGGAAAACCTAAAATCCAGTAACTAAATAGAATAAGAAAAAGAAGGAAAACATAAATTACAGACAAAAATATAACAGTGGTGGTAGATCTACACATAAGTTTCTATAAAGGGTTTTGTGGTGTCTAAAAATAAGTCCATATGCAATTGTCATTTATATGCCATGCATTCAAATTTGGTAACGTTCTAAGGTCCTCAGTCCATTGATTTTCCAGAGGTGGTCAGAACAAAATTTTGTGAATCCAGATTGAACATTTCTCATTCCATATAAGATAGCAGTTTTTGTTGTAAGATTTTGAGCATCACTTTACTCATATGGGAAATTAATCACCTTTCCTGCAAACAGCTGCATGAAAGCTCATCTGCATTAACAAGGAGTAACCTGCAATAACACTACTGGAGGCATGTGGGCTTGGATTCTGAACTGTTGTGTTCCATTGCAGGTTAACACTTCTTTGAGATCTTTCCTGTCTTCCACCTGTGCACAGTCTTGTCCTGTCCTTACCACAGATTTGTACACAGTCTCATATTCCTCATTTCTCTGTACCTGTTTATAAAACTCATATTGGATGCATGCACGTGCTCTCTCTTGGTGTTTCTCTAATTTCTCTTTCAGCAGTATACTCCACGTACTTCTTTGTACATTTTCATATTCAGCTCAAAGAACTCTTTTCTTTCATATATACACACTGATGCATTACGTACAATATTTAGATGCCTAATCAATTTGGCATGGCACATGGGCTGTTTCAAAGTTGATGAATATTGTTCATCACCATTCCAGAGGTCTGGAGGGGCACTACAAAGGGATAGAGAAGTGAAGGAAGCTCCCTGAAAAGTACAGTACTACATAGCTCTCTAGACTTATGTGACCCACCTCAAATCTAAATAATAGGGCCTGGGCATGGTTTACAGGGATTACCCACATGGTACTGGCATCAATGCTCCCTCCCTCTAAGCTGTGGAGTCTTGTGAGCAAACATTCTACTTGGTGTACTCCTGGCATGAAAATTGTGAGCGAGCGATTTGGCTGCTGCATAAGTTAGTTTGCTCTGGAGCCATCCCTTCCTGAGCCGAGACAAAAATGTGTGAGCCGGAGGCTAAAAAACTGTGAGCCAGCTCACACTAACTCAGCTTAGAGGGAACACTGACTGGCATCCCATTGAAGTATCCCAAAGCTCACCTTGCACCCTTTAATCAGTTGACAAATCTTGTTCTGAGTGAGGCTTCTGTCAGTTTTTAAAAATCTTGAAACTTTTGGTCATCCCACATGACGTTGGTTGACACGGGCCCTTCTGTTGGTGGAATTATTGGGTATTCCCATGGGAACTATGATGTGCCATAGCCCTAGTAAGTGGAAATTTGAGTGATTTTTCCCTGATGTGGAGGAGGCAATCTGTTCAAAAAAAATTCTGCAGACCTCTAGGACTTCATCTGCTTATCTACACATTTACTGGCAATGTGAGATTAATATGTAAAATTAGCTAATTAGTTTGTTGTTTTTGTTCCTAGGGCAATAAATGTGTATTTAACCTCTGCCGAGGATGCTGTAAGAAAAGGGCTTTTAGAGAGACAGCAGATTGTCCAGGTAAGTGTAGCTCAGCTTAGTGGTTGGGCACTTTTAAAGGAAAGGCCTTGTTATGTCAAACTGGCATCGTTGATTAGACTTGTTATGTACGTTCATATTTTAAAATGTCAGTCATTCAAGAAATACAAAGTATAGTCCTGACCTGGATAGCCCAGGCAAGCCCGATCTCGTCAGATCTCGGAAGCTAAGCAGGTCTGACCCTGGCAAGTATTTGGATGGGAAACCTCCAAAGAATTCCAGGGTCGGGAGGCAGAAGCAGGCTATCAAACCACTTCTCTGAACGTCCTCCATACCCCTGTAGGAGTCGCCAGGAGTCGCCATGACTTCCAGGCATGGGCACACACACACACAAAAGCAACCCCCCAAAAAAATAAATAAATAAATCCAAAGTATAGATTTCAAATCAAGGCTGCTTTGGCATAAGTCTGTTGGTGTATTGATGTCTTTGGGTTAGCAGAAGATATTTGAGGGAAAGGGGTATCTTCCGTTGCCAACTTCTTAATGTTCATTTATTTATTTATTTAATTTATGCCCCGCCCTATCCCACAAGTATCTAGAGTACTGATAATGTAAATTCAAATTTATATTGTGACCAATGCTCCTGCTAAGCTGTGGAGTCTTGTGAGCAAAACTTCTACTTTGTGAGCTACTGACATTAAAGTTGTGAGCGAGCGATTTGACTACTGCATAAATTACTTTGCTCTGGAGCCATCCTTCCTGAGCGAAGACAAAAATGAGTGAGCCAGAGGCTAAAAAACAGTGAGCTAGCTCACACTAACTCAGCTTAGAGGAAACACTGATTGTGACTGAAAAACTATGTACTCATTCTTTTGATAGCTTAGGAGTTCATGAGTTTACACACATTTGTCATGCTTCAAAGGATTTATTTATGGAATATCTTTCCCCAAAACTTGATTGTTCATTAGAACAGTTTTTTTCTCCAGCTACATCTAGTTAGGAAGCTGGCTTCCTCTTTAATCTAGCCATGCTGATCCATGCTTCAGTAACCTAAAAGACTAGACTACTGGAACATGGTCAGCATGGGGCTGCCCTTGAAAATTATCTGGAAGTTGCAGTTGGTGCAAAATGCTGCAGCCCGTTTGTTATCATGGTCTAGCCATTGAGACTGTCTGACTCCTATTCCGAGGTCCCTTCACTGGCTGCCAGTTAGTTTCTGGGTCCAATTCAAAGTGTTGATGCTCACTTTTACAGACCTTCATGACCTGGGGTCGCGTACTTGAAGCACCGTCTCTCCCTTCATCTTCCCACATATGGCAGTTTTATTCTTCCCAGCAAGTTCTATTGTCAGTACCCTGCTTACAGAGTTCCATGCTTAGGCTTTTTCAGCACCTAACCCATGCCTATGGAACAGCCTCAGGGAAGAGGTCAAATTGAGCATATAAACAAGTTGGGAGCCAGTATGGATGGAACAAGACTGGAATGACACAGTCCCTATGGCCCACTTCAGTCAGCATTCGGATCACAGCATTCTGTACCAACTTTAGCTTCCAGACAGTCTTCAAGGGCAGCCCCACATAAAACACATTGCAGTAATCTAGATGCTACCAGGACATGCACCAAAGTGGCAAGATCTTCCCAGGAGGGGCCACAGTTGGCTCACCAGCTGAAGTTTGTGGAAGGTGCTCCTGGCCAGCACTGCCACCTGCTTATCCAGTGTGAGGCCCAGGTCCTGCATCACCTCCAAGCTGTGAACCTGCTCCTTTAGGGAGAGTGCAACCCCGTCCAGAACAGGGAATACCTCTGTTCCTGGGTCAGACCTTCCCCCCACACTAGTAGCACCTCTGTTTTTTAGGGTGTACGTTTCAGCTTGTTAGCCCTGGAGTCTTCCCTCTAAGCTGGGTTAGTGTGAGCTAGCTCACAGTTTTTTAGCCTCTTGCTCACAAATTTTTGTCTTAGCTCAGGAAAGAGGGCTCCAGAGCAAACTAATTTATGCAGTAGCCAAATTGCTCGCTCACAACTTTAATGCCAGTAGCTCACAAAGTGGGATTTTTGCTCACAAGGCTCCACAGCTTAGAGGGAGCATTGCCCTTGACCATCCCAAAACTGTCTACAGGCACCTGTTCACAGTTTCTACCACCTCTCTGGGATCTGCTGGATGTGCAAGATAGAGCTGTGTCATCCACATATTGGTGACAACTCAGCCCAAATCTCAGGATTTGTTCATTTGTTTTATCAAATGGTGTTTATATTGCTGTTACTATCTTGGGTCCTGAAATATAAGGGAGAAAGGAATATAGATATTATACATTCTCCCATCAAGCCCCAAATTCTTCTGAAGTAGCCTTCTTGTGAACTTAGTAGAGCTGCGAACATGAATTTTGGAGGATGATACTAAACAGTAACTCTTCAGTACCTTTTTCAGCTCTTTTCCTAATGCTATTTATATCACATGTATGCCAGGAGATTTATTTTTATTTGATGCCTTGATTGCTCTGGAGAGTATGCCTTTTACAAATGGCCTTGCTTTTGCTGATATTTAACCAAGATCTGTTTCCCATTTTTTTCTCCTTCAGGACATGGTCTACTTTTTAAAACCAAATATGAAAAGTCCCTTTTATGGAAAAGCAATCAGTCTAATCTGCCAGATATTGAAATGATAGCACAAAAAGGAGAAATGAAGGAGACTAGATTACTCAAAGAACCTATTGATGGTGTGGCATGAGGCCTTGGGAATGTCTTCTCCTGGATCTGCTCCTAGGCCCCTGACTCCCTCCCTGGGCCAAAGAAATCTCTTCTTCCAGAATACAGCAGTTGTCTAAAATGATTGCATGGACCTATTCTTAACTGGCGGACAAGTCTTATTTAAGGACAAGTTTCTAACTCAGGGAAATATCCTGCAATGGAAATAAAAAAGATGCAATGAAAGCTTTTCATGCTGTCTTTGAAAGACTTTGAAGGACTAGGTCAGAAGTCCTGGCCTGAAATGTTCCACTGGAGACAGCTCTTAGTCTTGACCTGCCTGTTTTAAATGTTATGTGCAATTTTTAAATTGGCCAATAAATGTTTTATATAAGAACAGTTTTCTGGAATGTTGGAAAGGAAACAATTGGGAATATGGTAATGCTGGGAAGAATAGGAAGGTATTTAATTGTAGTTAAGATGGCCAGAGGAGAAAGGAAAGTGTACTGAAAGGTTCTATAAAACACAGTGACTCTGAAAACTGCTTCACAGAATCTTTTATAAAGGGCACTTTGGCATGTGAATTAATGTGAAAGCTGTGTAATTTATCAGGAATATAATTTAGCAATTTAAGTTTTGTGTGTGTTGGGAAACGGTAGAGTGCTATGCAAGTGTTGTAGCAGAAGAACTCATAATACCCACACATCGCACACTAATTTTGAAATGTGTTTCAAGTCCTGATTTTAAAGAGTTGTAGGGTGTGCTAACTGGGTATTTTTGTGTCATGTACACAGAAGGGTTTTTAAAGACTTTGGATGCCTCCACATGAAAGTTTTGCTCGAGTTTGGCATACCCTGGCTTTGCTTTGAACATTCCCAAATCTGGTTAGATAAGCTCTGTTCTGAAAAATCACTGTCAAAGCATATTTCCACACCATGTGGACAGGAAGGTGCACATTTTTTACAGTCCTGCTGACATCAGTGCTGTTTTTCTTGCCTCGGCCATCATTTCATCCCTGCCACTGGAAGGCTTTGGGGGGTTTAAAAAGCAACATAATTGCTAAATTGCATTATAATCATCTATTGCCATGATCTACTTAAGCGCTCTCCAACATGGTGCCCATGGATGCCATGGCATCCAGATAGTTTTAGAAACTGAGCAGGGCAAGGTGGGCCTTTTGACCAGCAGGGTTTCTGATTGGCCGTGTGGATTTTTAAGAAGTTTCTTCAGCAGTAGCCACCACCACAGCACAAGGATCTTCACTGTACGACTGAAGGTAAAGCTGTGTGTATGCAAGAAAATACATTTAAACAGTAAGTTCATTTAAAAAAGCATCCAACTTTTTGAAAATGTATTAGCAGAGTTACACATGACCACACTCCTTGAGATTTTATGGTGTCTGCTGCTGGCAGCCATATTGTGGTTGTGCGCACTGTCCAGTGTTAGAACTCCAAAGGTGCTCACAGACTCACAAAGATTGGGGACCCCGATTTATTTTTTCTGAATTCTGAGCTTTCATTTAGAAGAGGAAGAAGAGATTGGATTTATACCCAAAGAAAATGTCTCTATCATTTTTCATTGTGGAGATCTCTACACTGAAAAGATCTCTACGTTTCATTTTTTAAAATGAAAACTTGGAATTCAGAGAAGAAAATAGATTGTGGCAATATATCTTTATAATGTTAATGCTAGACCACAACAGGAATTGCAGTTTTGTTTGTTTTTTTAAGCCTGATAAAGCCCTCTGGTAAGAGGGTGGGAGGAAATGCAAGGGAAATAGCAGCAGAAGGAAGAAAGTGCTGTGTGGATGCTATGTTGATGTGTGAATGTTGAAAGACATTCAAAATAAATTTTGGAAGGAATCTCTGTACATTTCTGTGTACACTCCCACCTGTCAACCATTTTCGGTCCCACTAATTACAGTAGATCTCCCACTAAAACCATTTGGGCTTTCTTGGCTTTAGGTGAATTGTATTCTTTTCTTTGCCTTGCTTTAGAATTACATAATAATGGGGGGGGGGGTTGTCTCAGATTGCAACAGTGGAGGTAATTCTTCAGAGGTTGGTACTAGTCTCACTATTTTCCTTATATTAGTTTGACGTTTCCAGAATAGCTAATTTAAATGCTGAGACAAAGAGCTATATATTCACTTTGGTAGTGTAAATTATCATAATGCTGAAAGTGAGACAGTAGAAAAGGTAGACAAATAATTTCATTAAGAAGATTGAGCAGGGAGTGATACTTAAAGAAAATACAGGATTACATTTCCTCCAAAAGCAAGAATTCAAATATCAGATGCAAATTTCTTTTGAAATTTTGACTCAGTTTTAAAATCATTCCAGCTCAAAAGCATTCAGCTAGTTTCTGCTAAATAGGCTCTAAGAAGAAGGGATGTGGGGGTTGGTTTGTTGGTTTTTTGTTTAGCCTTTGAAGAACATTTGATTAGAATTGATGTATATAAGTCAGCTGTTAACTTTTGGTATAGGCAGAGCAAAAAGACAACTTACACTCACATTTTAAAAAACCCACCTGATATGAGGGGTAACACTCCAGTCTGAGCAGATTTCCATAACGTGTACATGCATACACATACTGCAAAACAAATCTGGGACTATGCAACCTCTGCCAATGTATCAGTCTGCTATTACTACCCAAGTGCACTTTATGTTCTGCAAATGCAGATGTTGAAAGAAACTTGTATTAACTGGAAGTTCTGTATCTGGATATTATAATTGCTGTCCTTAAGTGTAATGAAGAATTATCTATCTGCCTTCCCCCCCCCCTCAAAAAAATTAGAACCAATCCTGAATATTACAGAGTATCTTTCCCTTATTTCTTCTTATTACTTTATAATCTGGCCACTACTTAAGTACAGAAGAGTCCCAAACCAGTGTGGAGATTAAT